GTGAGCAATGTTCGCGAATGGACCGGCGTGCACGAAAACCGGTGTTCCCTCTAGTGTTTGCATGAGGTTGGGTTTGATAGCATCCTTCATCAAAACCGCAAGAGCACCTCCGACTCCGATATCGTCTGCCGTGATAGGCTCTCCACGTTTGGAAGTGGCGACGACCATAGCCCCGAGTCTATTGTAGCAATATAAGCATTCAAAGACAATGTAATTCAAACAAATAAACTAACCTCTCGCGCATATCCTTCAAGTCTGTGCTCAAAGCTAGAACTGCCATGCATTCACTAGCCACAGCAATATCATATCCGGTATCCCTCTCGAAGCCCTTTTCAGCCTCGCCCTTTCCAACAGTGATCTTTCTCAGGAATCGGTCATTGGTGTCAACAACGCGGTTCCAGGTGATGGTAGCTGGGTCAACATCCAGCCTAACAAAGGCATTGATCTCTTCAGGGGTCAAAGAGTTGGGGTCGGTCTTGTCGATGCCGAGTTTCTTGAGGCGCTTGAACATAAGAGGTGCAAAGGCCCGAACACCTTTGACGGTTGGAACGAGACGGTTGTACAAGGCCTTGTCAGTTTGAGTGGACTCGTGGAACATACGAGCGTCAAGGGCGGCAGCTATTTATCCGACGGGGATCAGGAATTTTACTTCTATTTAATACAATCAAGGCTTACCCAAAAGGTTGTTGGCAGCGGCGACGGCGTGGATATCACCAGTCAAGTGGAGGTTGAACTCGTCCATGGGGATGACTTGACTATAGCCACCACCAGCTGCACCGCCCTTGATACCGAACGTTGGCCCTTGACTTGGTTGCCGGACACAGGCAAATGCGGGCCTCCCCAAATGAGCGCCGAGAGCTTGAGCGAGACCAATTGTAGTAGTCGACTTGCCTTCTCCAAGTGGAGTAGGCGTAATACTGTAGCGAATGTGAGAACGTTTGGAACAACAACGAAAGCCGCAGAGGAGAGTAACGTGCAGGGACTCGGAAATGAAATTCAAAGGACCATTTACTTACCCAGAAATGACGATGTACTTTCCGTCCCTTCTATGTTTGAGTCGTTCCAAAATCGAGAGCTCGACCTTGGCCTTATATTTGCCATAGCTCTCTAACTCGTCCGGTCGAACGCCAATTTCTGCGGCGAGCTGAGTGACAGGTTTGGGTGTCTGCGCTACCGCGATTTCGATATCGCTGTCGACAAAATAGAATCAGTACGGACGCATGAGGTGGTCTAGAAAGGGGGACTAGTGATAAAAAGACGCGACACTCACCTAGGCACTTTTTCCAAAACATCTAGCTTCAAAGGCACCAACTTCCTCTTCCGCTCTAACTCCCACATCCTTTCAGCACTCTTGATGGTATTGGATACGAGCATGGCGACAGTCATGGGACCAACACCGCCGGGTACAGGTGTGATGTGAGCTGCGACAGAGGCGGCAGAATTAAAGTCGACGTCTCCAACCAGTCGCTGACCAGACTTCTTGGTCTCGTCTAGGGGCATGTCAGTATAAGATGAACTAGGGGCGTGGTGTACCCACCTGGAATGTAGTTGGTGCCGACGTCGATGACGACCGCACCAGGCTTCAGCCATTCACCCTTGACGTATTCTGGTTTGCCAATTGCAGAGACGACAACGTCCGCATTCTTGAGCTATGTGGAGAGAAGGATAAAGTTAGCTCTTGTCGCATGAGAGCATTTAGTAAGCGGAGAAGGAACACAGGATTGAATATGGACATCGACGCAACGATAAGAAATGGTGCTGAACAAGACCTACCGCAGCCAATAAATCTTCCTTCTTCGTCTTGCTATGGCATTGCGTGACAGTGGCATCCTTTCGTCGAAGGAGAGCAGATACGGGATTGCCAACAATATCGCTTCGGCCCAAGACGACAACGTTCGCACCTGCGAGGTTGACGCCAGTGGTAGAGAGGAGGTGGATGACGCCAGATGGTGTGCAAGGGGTGAAGAGTGGCTCAGACGAGCGAGAAGACAAGTGCCCAATGTTATATGCATGGAATCTAAACCAGGACAGATAAGAGAATGTATTAGCATTGTGCAACAGGCGAGACGCAAGAACTCTGGAATATGTATACATACCCATCAACATCCTTGAATGGGCTGACGCTCTCCATCACTTCCCTCTCACCATCCAAACCGACGTGTTCACCGAGTGGCATTTGTACAAGGATGCCATGAACGGTATCGTCGATATTGAGCTTTTGCACAATTTCTTTGATCTGGGCAGCGGTCGCTTCTGCCGGTACCTGAAGGATAAAGAGTTATTATTAGCATATGTTTGAATTGACCTCAAGAAGATGGTCCTGAGGTCTCAGAACATTGCCAGTCGAGTCCCAGGGCGTCGAATGCAAGGTGATGGTGGAATAGAAAGAGATCTACGTACGCCAATATGCTGATAGTCGATCCCGACTTCTTTGCATGCCTTTGCTTTCATCTTGACGTAGGTTGTCGAATCCGGCCTCTCACCGGCTTGGATGATCACCAACTTGAGAGTTGGGAAGGTTGGGTTTTGCTCTTTCAGAGACGTGATTCGTTGTTGAACCGTGTCCCGAATCGATCTGCGAGAGGAGCGTTAGCGTCTGCTCTGACGACATGGTAGAAATGAAGGTGAAAATAGAGAGATGGGACGAAAACAGTGGTGTAGGAGACAGATCATGTTTACAATCCCAAATCAAGAGTAAAATAATCGATTATCAGCTAATGATGCCATCTGCACACGACTCACTTTGCGATCGCAGTTCCATCAATGGTCTTTGCTGAAATATCTGCCATAGTTTCTACAATCGTCTGTATAACCTGGTTAACAGCCTCGTCTTCAGGTGCTCCAAACTGGAATTGCTGTAGTGGGTAGTCTTCGACAATATCCGACAGCGGGAACGGCAAGTTGGACGAAGGCGCAGACGCAGCGTCGACTGTCGATGGGTGTCGTGGATCGAGTTGTCCCGGTTGTCCTTCGCGCTGCTGAGCAGGAGACGAAGGCGGAAGAGGACGAGAGCGAAATGCAAGTGGGTGTTGGGAGTCCTCTGTGGTCGCCTTTGAATTCGATTGGGCGCGTGCACTGGGAGACAAACTTCGTGCAGTGGCAGCCTGAGCGTATGCGCGTTTTCGATTCCCAGCGTCTATAGAAGTCGCTCCATTCGACCAGCGTTCCAAAGATAGACACGACACAAATGTCAAGCCACTTTGGGCGCGTTGAGAGTTCTGTGAAGAGTGGTGGTGGTGGTGGTGTAGTGAGCAGTACGACCGCGCCGAAAAAGTAGAGTGCGCGTTCAGCCTACCCCCAGCCCCCAACGAGGAACTGGGGAGATACGCGGGCTTTCTGAATGCTGAGATGTGTAGTATCCGTCGTGATAGCCTCGAATGGCTCGACGACGACACGGCTTTCGTCGACGAGGCCAGGGTCAAATTTTGTGCGAGGACAAATCCAGCCTCACCGCCAATCCGAACGTGGCTTCCCATTTTTCAGTCTTTTTTGTTCTACACACCTAAATTCGGACGCTAGGGTTTACAGTAGCAGGAGAGGGAAATAGGAAAGGGATTTCGACACCTAGTCATCTCTGGACTAACAACGAGATGAAATATGCGGGGAAATGTATGGACGAAGACGATCCGGCCAACCACGACTAACACTCACGGGATGTTATGCACGTTGGAGAAACTATGGCAGATATTTCAGCAAAGACCATTGATGGAACTGCGATCGCAAAGTGAGTCGTGTG